CAATTCATTGGTGTTTAGGATAAGATGAGCACCGGTGCTCATCGGATCATTTCTGTATATATATTATTTATTATTTTTTTTTTTTGAAAAATGAATTTATGTATAGTGATTTTTTGGAGAATGTTTAGTTAAAAAGTATGAAAGCGTTTTGGGTTTACTTGTAAAATATTTTATTTTGAGAATATATAATTGAAAAAGATTTTTTGAAAAAATAAATATTTTGGAGAATGATAGACAAACAGTGGTTAGATAGTATATGATTTTCTTTAAAAAAAAGTGAAAGAGTATGACTTTGAAATTTCAACACCTTAATTCATATGCAAGACAAATAAAGTATTAGATCATGTCACTTTTTAATGTAAAAGAAGAATTTATATTCATATTTTCACAAACACGTTACATGCATCTTTTAACTGATCCAAAAGGAATTCAAATTAAATATTGTGCAACTTAAAAAAAGTGACTGTCACTTTCAATTTTAGACCTTCATATGCAAGACAAATAAAGTATAACATCTTGTCACTTTTTAAAGTAAAATAAAAATTCTTATTATATTCATAATTAAATATTTATGTAAACGAGAGTATAGGGCATTTGACACAAAAACGTTAGTAGAATTTTCTCCAAATGTAAAGATGAGAGGCTAGAAATGATGTCGTACTCATGGTGAGTAAGATAAAATATATCCAACGTTGTTGTGGTAACATCACGTCAACAATTAAGTCTACAATTTTTGACAATTTAAAATTGAATGATAAAAAATTGTAGGCTCACAGTGAACAACACAACTCCTACCGATTATGAGTAGGAGATCATTTTTGGATGAGTGGTTTAATGGAGAATGGTATATAGGTAGGTCTACTTGCCCATAGACTTGAGGCATTACCCCCACCGCCCTTCGGCTATAGTACAATATGGTAATGTCAGTTTAGAACATTGCCCTAGCCTGCCTTTATAATTTCAACAACATTATGCCGTTTTTGGTATTGATTAAAATCAGATTTTAATTTTAAGTCAAAGTTAAATAATCAATATTAATCTCATATTTCATTGGTCTCATAATTTTTCAACCATACATTCTATCAACTTTTATCAAAATTTACTAAAAATTTAATTTTAAACTAAACCAAATAAGGGCTATACGTACAAAAAAAAATTCACAGAAATCCTGCATATGGACATTTGGTAGATTATCATTGGAAGATGACAAAAATACAAGAAAAAAGCTGCCCTAATGTTTTTTTCCAGTACTTGCAAAATAATTCTTGTAATTTTGTCCCTCAATCACGCATTGATTCTACATTTCTGTCTCATTGAAGAAACTACAGGAGCTGCTCTCCGAATCTGAAAATGTTGCAAGTTTGTAACACTGCTCACCATTCTTATTTTTTCTACTTCTCCTCTTTATATAAAAGATATTACGGCAAGCTCCATAGCAGGAAGAAAAAGGAGCGACGACTGTTCATAAAAAGACTGTAAATCCATTTTCTTCTTGATAAAGAAACTCTATAATCATAAGTGGACATAAATACGAGTGAACTACTCTAAAGCTTATGTTCTTTACTTCCTTTCAATTTTGTGTTAATAGAATACTCTGACTCACTCATAACATGGACCACCCCATCCCCACCCCCACCCCCACCCGGGCCATCCCACCCTCATATAGTCATATATATCAACAAAATTGTGCTCATTCCTCATTTAAGAACTTCCACAGGGACTAGAAAATAAAACTCAGTAATATATATATGGATCGAGTATGCGGTTAGACGTGTAATGTCTAATTATATACCATGCTATTGCTCTTTTGGTCACACATGGCCTACCAAAATTTCAACATTATATACATCGGATGCATGACATGACTCGAGTAACAATTCGTTTTCATATCATTACAGTGATGTTTTGCTCTAACTAGTGAACATAATCCTCACATTGAAACTAATTACACTAAATTATATACTAAAGCATTTAATATCAGCATACACATTGGATGCCCTTATTCCCTCTCTCAAGCCCTGATAAAAAAAAAAAAAAAAATTCTCATTTTGGAAAGATCAGATTACACTGTTAATAAACCAGGGTTTTGGTTTTAAAATTCAAGAACATTACATCAATGGTAGTTAAGTAGAGGAACAAAAGGAATAAGGGAGGCATACATATTTAAAGCTATAAAGCAGTAGTTAAACAGTCATTTTGACAACTTTAGAAACATCATCATTTGTTAAATGATGTCAAAATTTTATACAGAATAGACAGTAGTATTCAGAAGAGTGTATTTATATATTGAAATTTTAGAGAGAGAGAGAGACCCTCTTCTATTGTCCCTGTGAGGTCTGACTATTTAGAACTTCAAAGAGAACAGTCAAAAAAGCATAATCAAAATTTCTGTAGAAACTTAAAAGAAGAACAGTCCACTGTGCACCAGCACCACTTCATCTTCTCACTTTTTGACATTTGCCTCTACTTTATTCACTTTACACTTGCTTAAATTCAAATAAATAAAACGTGATTAACTAATGATACATAAAGCGCTTCAATAATTGCTAAAAAAATTTTAAAAAATTCCTCTCTAATGCAAGGACATTATAGAGTTGATGTGATGAAGAAACATATATACAATGTCAAGAACTCCGTCTCAATTTAAAAGTTGACTCGACAAGATTTATATTTTCTAAACAAATAGATGCGTTTTTGTTTGCAAAAGACGTCGAAACAGCGCTGTTTATTTGTAGATAGAATTCAATGGAAGATATCAACGCCATATATACAGATCAGAAATCTAAAAGAAATATGTCAATTGTGTAAAGTTGGCTGAACAAACCCTAATACAAATACGGTCCTTGTTTGGTTTCCATTATTTTCAAAATAAATTTTTCTCTCTTTTATTTTTCACTACATATTTTTTAATAAAATAATATTACATGTAAATTAAAAAAAAATTCTTATTTTTTAATCACACGTTATCCATCAAAATATTATTTCAAAATGTATTTGAACAAAAAATGGGACTCAAACGAGCTCACAATGTACCATCGTACCATATACAATTTACCAAATTCTGTACATATATACTATACGAAGAAAAAGACTGAGAAAAGATATTGCATCAGTTGAAGCAGAGACATGGGTCCATGGTCCTCTAAATAAATTCAAAAACCTCTTTTTCGTTAAGAACACGATCCGGGTCTGTCACGTTGGCCTCTCTCCCTTCGAATGCAAAGTAGTGAGTGTATGGACATGGATGATGAAAATGGAATGGCCGATCTGAGGCAATACATGAACCGGAGGCCTTTTTTTCCACCAATTCCTCCTGGAACTGACCTGTTATCCGACCACCATCCGCGGTTGACGCAGACGCAGCAGTACGACATGTTCATGATACCACATGGGCTTCAGCCGGCGTTTAGGTCTGATTCTACAACTAGTAATACTGGTGGTGGGGGTTCGTCTAGTAGTGCTGGTGGGTTTGGTGGGTTTGAGATGGAGGCTGGTGGGTTGAATGGTTACGCAGATGGTGGCACTGGGCGATGGCCTAGGCAAGAAACACTTACTCTTCTTGAGATCAGATCGAGGCTGGATCCTAAGTTCAAGGAAGCCAACCAAAAGGGTCCGCTATGGGATGAAGTCTCAAGGTATATATCCTTCAGTTTTAACTTAAAAACTGAAATCTTGCAAATTTCACCAAATACTTCATCTTCTAAATGTCATTTTACAGTCACAAACCTTTAGAACACTTTGTAATATGGGTGATTACCCCTTTTTTTTCTTTTTTTGTGTGTGTCGTGGGGTGGGGTGGGGGTCACTTGTATTATTTTCTCAATTTCCTTTCTTTTGAGGGGTGGGGGTGTTGAGTGGATTTCTCCTTTGAAAGCTTTAGTGTCCCCAGTGTTTTTCAGTTTTCACTGGTTTCTGTACTTCATCTTATAAATGAAATTCAGAAGGATCCCTGTTATCCTCCCTCGCCATACGTTTAGGTTGGCTAGTCCCCACCAGTAGACTCGACAAAATCTCCAAAAACTGAACTAAACAACAGGATGATAAAAAGCTTCAAACGATTAACTTTATTCTTACTATCCGAGTTTTGTTATAGAAAAAATGACAGTATACAGTTGAAGTCCAGTTTGAGATTTAGGTGTTGCTTTCATTCTGGAATCTGGATTTTTTTCACCAAGAGATATCTCACAATTACTTCTATGAATCTTAAAGCGAGTGTTTTGTTTCTTTTCATCTAAAACAGTTGCTAAATTTTTGGGCGTTTTAGAAATAATTTTCTAGCTTCGTTTTCTTGAAAAGACCTGAAAAACAGCTCTTTCAAGTTCCTCAGACAACTTTCTGTAAAACTTCGAATAGTCATACTCAAATTAACGTTGTTTATATTCACTTCAGAATATATAAAACTATACGAGCTTGTCTATCCTTTGCATGAATTCATTACTTAAAAAACTAGGGTTCTTAATTTTATCACATCAACTTCATTTGTTGATGTTGCAGAGTTAAATTTCTACATTATATGTTTTAATTTTTAGGATTATGGCTGAGGAACATGGATATCAGAGGAGTGGCAAGAAATGCAGAGAGAAGTTTGAGAATTTGTACAAGTATTACAAGAAGACTAAAGAAGGCAAGGCTGGAAGACAGGATGGCAAGCACTATAGATTTTTTCGCCAGCTTGAAGCACTCTATGGTGAAATCAGCAATACAGTGCCAGTCTCCGAAACACATCGGGCCGGAAGCACTATTCTAAACAGTACTTCGACCAATAACATTTTAATAGCAAATCAGCAAGAAGTTTATAAGGCTCCAAAGCTCTCAGATACTAGCCTTAGTCTATCTAATTCTTCTGATTTTGATACTACTTCATCAGATGGAGGAGACGTTAATGGAAGAATAAACGATGACTCGAGTGGAAATAGGCAGAAGAAAAAGGGTAATAGGAGGTGGAAAGTAAAGATAAAAGACTTCATTGATGCACAGATGAGGAAATTGATGGATAAACAGGAGGCTTGGATGGAGAAAATGATGAGGACAATTGAGGATAAAGAACAAGAGAGGATGATAAGAGAGGATGAATGGAGAAAGCAAGATGCTGATAGAATAGAGAAGGAGCACAAGTTCTGGACTAGTGAAAGGGCATATATCGAAGCACGGTATGCTGCATTAATGGAAACTATACGAAACGTTGCTGGTAAAGAACTTAATGTTTCACCATCGGATGAATTGATGGCAGTTAAAACTCGAAGCCTGAGTGAAAACGAGAACGACGATGAAAAGGGCGATATGATCTGGCCAGAATCTGAGATTACAAGGCTAATCCAATTGAGGACTAATTTAGACTCAAGGTTTCAACAAGGTGGGTTTTCGGAAGAAGTCCTGTGGGAAGGAATAGCTTCAAAAATGGCCTGTTTTGGATATGACAGGAGTGCTTTAGTCTGCAAAGAAAAGTGGGATAGCGTCAATAATTATGTAATCAAGTGCAACAAGAAAAGAAAGGAGAATCCAAAACCCTATTGCTATTGCTATCAGAATAATGTGTCCATATGCAATAATCATGTAGGAGCCTTTTGTGATAATACCAGTGGATTAGGACCTGAGGCTTCACCTTCTAATAGCAACACAGGAAATGCAATGAATGATAGCTGCTTTAGGTACTTTATGGGGGATGATCATAACATGTGGGAGAATTTTGGGCTGAAACTCAACAAATTAGGGTAGGAAAATCAGATCAAGTTATATAATCTGCATCAAAATTGTTTCTGATCAAATTAGGAAGAGATTATAAGCAGCAGATGATGAAAGAGGAGGCAACTGACATATTGTGTTGACTTGTGACTTGGGAAGTGAGAAATTTAACTATGGTGGCTTTTTATTGCTTCTCTTTGGTGTTGTATTAGGCTTATTTGTTAATTGTTCTGCATACATTTTATAATTTTAAGGTAATATTTACAAAAAAAAAAAAAAAATTGTCTTCTTCCTTTCATGTATTTGCTTAAGAATGTTAATAACTCATTTGTTTCTATATGTATTCAAACTTGGTTAATCTGCCATATTCTATTTTGAAAATTTTGATCTTACATGAATACAATATTGGAACACTTCATTTAAAAGTTTTAAACTTTTAATATCGTATGAGATGGGGCAAAGATGTCGAGTTCAAATTTTGCAATTTGAAAATTGTGCACTTGTCAACTTTCTTATGAAAAAATGAATCCGACCTATACATAAAGAACATGTAATTTAAATAAATATCTTTCAATTACCATCATTGAGTTTAGCACTTAAGATTATCGATAATAAGTCAAAAGGAAAGTGAGGATGACATAAAGTCATTGTTCGTACCCTTTATGTATACGTGATCATAGGAGGAGGATAAAAGGGGGCAAGGAGTGGCGATTGTCACGGAATCTCAACAATTATTCATATTTCAAACAAGAGACTTTAGTTTTTTCCACAACTGCAAAAGATTGTTAGTATTCCAAAAACTTGACAGACCATGTTTTGGAAATGCAGATGAAAATGTGAACAATGTAGGAAAATTGCAAATACTTTAGTTGATTGAAAAGACACCATAATTGGCAACACAATCAACAATATCAAGATACAGTGAAAGGCAAAAGGATTATAAATCAAACTCTTTCCTTTTTCTTAGGGTTGTTTCAAAAAGCTTTTCATAAATTTTTTAGTAAATTTTGATAAAAGATAATAAAATAAATGGTCAAGATTTTGATAAAGTTGTGAATAATAAGAAATGTGTGGTTAAATTAATTGTTGACGTAGGTTTCTTAGCTGTTAAGCCGGGTGAAGATGTAGGTGCCAAGCCTGATTATTCAACCGAAACATATTTCAGTGAAGAATACATGGGTCTAATACCTTCCTTTCAAGCAAGGAGTAATCGAATGTTGTTCGACTATCTGGAGCGTATAGTAGTGTTTCAGTGAAGATTACATGGGTCTAATACATTCCTTCTTGATTACAACTTTTTATGGTATCCTTAACAAACACTTAATTTCTTGACTGCCAAACACACCCTTATATGTAAGATGAACCAAGAAATTTTACGAGAGATTAATGAGAATATAAATGCAGATTGGATTAATGAGTGTTGCAGTGCATGGCAGAAATAAGTACGAAAACCATGCAAAATGATTTATGACGTAAGCAAAGTGAAAGCTTACTTTAGATAAGAGGTTGCTTGCAGCCCTAGTAGTATTCTCGAACCCATCAACAAACTGCCCAAAAGCTGGCAAAAAAGTTACTCTCCTGCCTTAGGTGGGGTACGTTAGGTGGGGTGGGGGTCTTGGTGGCTCCTACCTAAAGCAAAATTGTATTATTATTCATCTTCAATCTATTGTCCCCTTTCTCCTGCAAGTTGGTCTTCAACCTACAAACTTAAATTAGTTTTCAATATTGCACAGTTTGTAATCATTAACGAAAATCATCTAGATCTTTGTTAAATTATTACATATTCTTCGTAAAAATGTCTCATTTTATAATTTTGAGCGTCAATTGAAATTGAGAACAAAACCTTGTTCACATTCGAGGATTACGAGACAAATTAACATAAATTTGAACAATCTTCGTGGTGAGGGACTGATTCTGCATTTATAGTTAATTTTGAAAACTAACTTGAAGCAATAGATAGATAGATAACTTGTGGTTCTTCCCCATACATACACAAGACACATTTTAGTCACAAGCAGTCAAATGGGTAACTCAAAAATTTTCTGAGAATCAAAATTTGCTCAGACAGTTGTTTAGGGTGATACATACATATACTGACACATCTGAAAAATGTGTCATGCTTTTCCTGGAACACCCTTTCTCAGTATCCCAATTTGGGACGTTTTGATAATTTGCTTTCGGTTGGACTATAATCTGAAATTTACCTTGTTTACTCACTCGGATTCTTCATGACCGGAAATAATATGAGAATATGAGCTAATAAAGGAAGGCCCAAAAATAATCAAGACCAGAAGAGATACTTTCAAGAAACAGGCCCAACAAAGGAAAAATAGAGCCCAATAGACAAAAACAGCAAGCTGCCTAAAATCAGACAACAGCAACACATGCAAAGAGACCTGTTATTGGCAAAATGTCATCAAATCTCACACTTTAGTGTTTATAAAGCTTATTAAAACAAGGCTAGGAAATACAGATAGTAATAAGAAAATTGAGAACCCGGCAGAAGACTATTCGCCTATCACTCTCTCAACAATTAAGTAGAAAATCCAAGGAAGCAAAGAGTCCACTTAGTACTTGTAGTCCTTGACGTGGAGGCTTTCGGAGGCACCCTCACTCAATGCACTAGCACCCTGGTAAGTTCCCAGGGTTGCTTCCGAGTTGGCCTTGCACCTTGTAAGCAAAGCATCCTGAGCTTTCTTGATGTTTTCATCTTTCCCAGCCCAAGCCTTGAGTGTGCTCTGCTGGAGAGCACGTCCAAATGAGAAAGAGAGGGTCCATGGCTTCTTGGTCTTCAGTTTGTTCATGGCATTAAGGTTCAGAGTGGCCTCCTCCTCGCTCTGTCCACCAGATAAAAACACCACGGCGGGAACTGCAGGAGGCATTGTACGTTGCAAGGCACGAACAGTGTGCTCAGCAACCACTTCTGGCGCAACCTTGGGTGCATCTGACCCCGGAGTCACCATGTTTGGTTTCAACAAAGTTCCCTCGAGGAGGACATGGTGGTCATTCAGTGCCTTGTAGACAACAGCAAGAACACGCTCAGTGACATCAGCACACTTGTTAATGTCATGAGAACCATCAACAAGGATCTCAGGCTCAACAATAGGAACAAGACCATTTTCTTGGCATATGATTGCATAACGGGCTAAACCATTGGCATTTTCATTGATAGAGAGCTGTGATGGTTCATTGGCACCAATATTGAGCACAGCTCTCCATTTAGCAAATCTAGCACCTGCTTTATAATACTGCTGGCAACGTTGGGCAAGGCCATCAAGACCTTGAGTGGTGGTCTCACCATTGGTTCCTGCAAGCTCAACAGTACCCTTGTCGACCTTAATTCCGGGGAGGACACCACCCTCTTTCAATACATCAACAAAAGGTTTACCTGCATGTTTTGTTTACAGTACGTAATATAATAATTATTCATATTTCAAGTTGGAAAAGTGTAAATCTCAAGGTGTTGTTAAACAGATTATGCAAAAACATAAAAATCCAATTTGACCTCGAATTATATTGAAATTATAATATGAACATCTCCAAACTACATACCTGCAGCAGTCTTTTGGTATAGAGTTTCCTCAAAAAGGATAACTCCACTCAGGTATTGAAGAACACCAGGAGCGGTGAAGAGAAGCTCGCGTAGAGCCCTCCGGTTGGTCTCAACATTCTCAACATTGATGCTAGCTAGTCGCTTGCCAATTGTGCCAGTAGACTCATCAGCGGCAAGGATACCCTTTCCAGGGGTACCAATGTATGCAGCATTGGCAATAAGTTCATCTGCAGAAAGGAAAACAATTGGTTAGTATTACAGTATCTAAATTTTTTATATAGAACACCAGTAAAACACATGAAGAACTAGAGAGTTAAACCAAAATAGCCACACACACAAATATCAAAATAGACGACTTATCACTGATTTGCTAAAAGCAGATCCAGAGATCATATTATTGTGACTTCTTACTCTTTTAGGCTAGGTATTCTAATTATACTATTTTATTACATGTAAACATCAAAGAATTTGTACCAAGTTAAAGAAATTAGCATGCACGTATTGATTAACAGAGGCCACAGTGAATCTATTCACCACCCCTCCCCCACCCCAAAGTCAATAATTAGACCGATTCTTGCCTCACAAATAATGGATCAAACCAGACTAACAGAAGATCTAACTACAAACTGTATATAACAAATTTATCCAAAAATGTTCATATTCCTGTAACATGTTCCATTTAAACAGAGGATCAACCACTAAAATGATTACAGCCAAGACACATAAATTGATTTGAGTATTACTATAAGCAGCATAACAAGGATCTGGACAGACGAAAATAGAAAACGAGCAAATTAACAGATAATTCAGAAATAGCCAATTCGTCCAATAGAGAGATACATCCAACTACATAAATAATTCTTATACTAACACTTAAAAATCGTACTTTTTTATAGATGAGAACTGTATCAAATCCTAGATCAGACATAGAACTTCATTTTACAAATAATAACATATTACATCTCAGGATGATTTCCAGATCTGATAAACATCAAACAAATCGAACAAAAAAAACCAACACGTGCTTAAAAATCAAATAAAAATCGGTGTTTCACTTTCGATCTGATAAATATTAACAGATAAGGCCAAAGACATAGTACAAAAAAATTACCAGCGTACTTTCCCTTGTAGCAAGACATGATTACTCTTGGTTTAAAACGAAGAAAATCGAAGAATTACAGAGAAAAAAAATGTTAGGCGAGATGCAAGCAATACAACGAGGAAGGATAGTGACAATCTGGAGTCACGGATTTTATACAGTAGTGGGAGGAAAATGGACCGTAGATATTATCGCTAAATCTCGACCCCTCCTCCAAGTAATCCGTCGATTATGCCGACTTTTATGCTTTCACTCTTTTGCCCCTCTAATATTTTCCGCCCGCCTTGCAATGTTTCATGAAGCTAGCATGTTTGGGACTTTTTTTATAAAAAATAGTTTAAGCCATAGACATTATTTTGAGGAAAATGAAGTTTTAAATAATGATTTTGTTTCACGCGTTTTCGCTCGCTAACAATTAAAAAAGAGATCAGACGATTGTGTAAGGGACAAACCTCTTGCAACGATGGGAATGACGATATTGATTATTAATTTTTAATTAAATAATATTAAAAATTATTCGATTAATATATATAAATACACTAAAATGTAGGAATGATATAATATGAAAATATAATCTAATACAACCCAAAAGAAAAATAAGTAATACAACTTCACTTCGTAACTGTATGCTCAGATAATTGGAATCTCTGTAGTATCATATTTTGAAAGCACTACAAGATTGTCTCATTATCAATTTTTTAAAAAACGTATTGCTTAATGTACACTACCAAATTGTTATCCAACCAAGTCATCCCCCATTTTGTTGCGCAAGAACAAATTTCCAAAATTTTCAATTCACAAATTCCCCAATTAACAAATTTTCAATTCCCTAAATTTACCGATTAACTAATTCACAATTTCCTTAATTCAAAAATTCACAAAATTTTCTACTTTATAAATTAGTCAAAGGTAAATATTGAAATAAAATTTAAAAAAACAATAAATTAAAGTAAGTCAACTAATTAAATATATTAAACATATATAATTCT